CATGATTGCCATACAGGATCAGGTCATAAATACTAAAAACTACAGAAAACACATACTCAAAGATACAACACTCACAAATGACACATGCAGAAAGTGTCACATCATGCCAGAAACTATACAACACATTACATCTGGGTGCAAGCTCTTGGCACAGACAGATTACTTAAGTAGACAGAATCAAGTAGCGAATATAATACATGAAGAGCTTGCAAAGAAACACAAATTATTAGACATCCACGAACCATACTTCAAATACGTTCAACAGACAGTATTGGAAACAACACGCACAAACTGTACTACGACAGAGCCATAATTACAGATAAAACAATTTACCACAACAGACCAGACATCACACTCATTAACAAACACAATAAAATCACATACATTATAGACATATCCGTTCCAAACACTCACAATATACAAAACACATTCACTGAAAAATTAGTAAGTACACAGAACTCGCCCAGGAAATAAGGCACCTGTAGAAGATAGAAAGTATGCTTATTGTACCTGTCGTTATCTCCTCTACAGGTGTGATACCACACACACTACACAAAAGCTTGGGAACATTACAATTGAATAGAAATACATACATCACACTACAGAAGGCCACTATATTAAATACATGCCGCATTGTTAGGAAATTCCTGAATACAGACACTGACACACTTAATTAATTTTTGTTTTTGGTTGCTATGCCTAGACTCTGGTCCGGCATAGTGCACAGCCACCGGTGTCAACCGAGTATAACCCACAAAACCCAAAATATTAATAATAATAAATAATATAAAATTAGTATACCTTTCGAAATGTGACCTGTTTCTTATTCCTTAATATATCTCCAATTAAAGCACCAAAACAATAAGTACCAAGATGTGAATAATACGGTTTAATATAATTATATACAGTATATTTATAGGTTTCCCTAAAATAATAAATAAAAATATAAATTAGTTTATTTGATTAATAATCATCCATTATCAAATAATAAAGAAATTAGAAGTTTATACTCAATAGCTGCAGGTATTCCAAACATCGCGTAATATCTGTTCGAAACTACATCAACTATATACATGATAACCCCTGTTAACATTGATGCAATTATGGCGAATCTTCCAAATCTGGGCCATCTGCAAAATGGTATTCAATCTATTGTAAAGAAATTAAAAATACCAAGCATCTGTTAAATAATAATATTTAGGGTTTTTATAAATACTAAAGGAATAAAGTATCCCTATCCAACGACATCTTGACAAATCTTTTGGGTTTTACATGCAACCAAGTTTACTTTGGTGTCACATTTATTAACAAGCTAAAAACAATTCTTTAAAAAATTAGTATCAAATCTTACCACTACTTCGCTCTTGGCGCTGCAAGCAAGAAACATTGTATACGAGCCTAAAATTCATGAAATACAGAGGCAGTAACGCTGCAAAAGCTACTGCTCAATATGTGTCCATTCTGAAGACGTAAAACGTAAAGGAAAAGAATAATGCGTTTAATGGCCGAACCTAATTTATCAGCGATATATGACCGACGGTTTGATAGTGTTTGGAAGCTGCCAAATTTTTCAACTCGAATTCGATAAAAGTCACTTTTCGAGTATTACCAATTCCGAAAATTACCCTAATTATGAATCGAAAGCTCTTAACTGTGAGCGACTTTGAAGATTACACTCTCTAAAATCTACTTCTTCAAAGAGAATCCATTTCGGACCATTATGAAATAAGTCCATACGTGTTGAAAAGGCAGAGTAAGTACATGTAAGAAAAACCAATATACTTGGAATTATTCACCAGCATCAGTCGTACCCAAAGATGTTCCTTTGGGTATTCGTCAGAAGCTTCATGACGAGTTAGAGATGAACCGCTCAAAATTTTTCCTGCTCCACATAGCTGATTCGGAGTGGGGTATTCCTATCGTGCCAATTTTAAACATGAAAGGAACAATTAGGATCTGTGGGGATTAAAAAGTATTCCGAATAAAGACGGGCGATCAATTTCTTATCCCATACGAGTTATAAGCGTCAGTTTAAACCTCATCTGCAGAGCTGTATGTTTTCCAAATTTGACTTAGTCCAGGCTTACCAGCTACTTAGAGTAAATAACGAAACGACAATAGCACAAACAATATTGGCCAATCGTGGTGCTTTTAAAATTTATTGCCGCTCGAGTAGTGATTATTATTATTCCTTTTTCGAAACGTCGAGCATGATAACACTGACGTTCCAAACACCAGTGTTATTATAATACTGGCGTTTTTATACAGCGGCACCATTCTGTAAGTTCTAAGCTTACAGAAAGGTGTCGCTGAGTGTCCGACATACAGGTTTTCGCGTTCTAAACGTCAACCGCAACCTCTCTATTAAATCATATAATTATTCTTTTAGTACATTCATTTTTGTTCACATAGACATTAATTATTAAAATTTACTTAAAAATTAAAAATTAAATTTCGCTACGTAATCTATAATATAAATTTCAAATAATTTGAAAATTGTTTTTCATATTATTTAGTTAATAACATGATAAAAATTTTATAAATTTTATATCTGAAAATCTGTCGATATGATTATAATTTTTAAAAAATTAAAATTTAATACAGCTTTGTAAAGAAACATATTGTACATAAATATCGCATTGAATATTCTTTATTTTTTAAATCTTAAAACAATCAATTTAGTCAAATAGCTCTCTACCAGTGGCTAAGAGATAGAATAATTGGAAGCGTTATAAAATTTTTTCACTTGAGTAATATTCGGTTTGTAGTGTTTGTAAACAGTGAACAAATATATTTTATAAGTCTATACAGTTCACGAACTTAGCCGACCTGTAATATCACGGCCATATATGATCTTTTCATGCGGACCAATAGAGATTACTGCATATGGAAGAAACACTCCCCAAAAAGTCGAAACACTTCACTAAAGCTTATCTGATCGATTTAGCATTATATCAGAAAACCATATTACAAAAATATAAATACATTTTTCGTATTAATGAGAAATAAATACTGCAAGTCTTACCTGTCAACAATATATAATAACAGTGACATTAAGATGGAAAGCTGCAGCAACACACTGATGAACCATATTACGTCGAAAAACACCTAAAAATTTTTTACAAAGTTGACGAATTATAAACTAATAAAATTAATTTTATTCGATTTATCTATAAATGTATCATACAAACAAATACAAGTAATATTTATAGACTTGAAACAATAAGACAAGTTTACGTTTCCCTATCTTTATACAATAAACCCAATTTATTAAAGCCATTTCTTCTAATTACTATGCAACACTAAATATTTTCACTATTTTTAAATGTCCCTCATTTTATATTTTTACCTTTATAAAAAAATAGTAATAATCTATGCAATAAGATAAAATATGTGAGGATCCGAATTCAGACTTTCACTATTTTTATATCATTATCTCCTAATATCACATCGTAGTTATACTTTCGTTAAATAACTGTCAACTTTTACCACTGGGAGCTAAACATCTGTTAAGTTCTTAGGCCTAGTAACGACGCTTTCTCATCACCTTTCCACCTAATATCTCGATTTCAACAGTACAACATTAGAACAGAACAACAAAGTGACGCAGTCGTCGCCATTCACTCTTGGATTAAAGTCATCGAAATTTTCCGTGTGTCAAAGACAATTTCTATGCTCAATCAGTACTCTGTCGGATTTTTCCCGTTACTTTCACCTGTGAATAGAACTTTCTTGATCCAGACCAGTCCAACGATCTAAATCCTCACCCTAAAGATCTTAATCTCAACCCCAAGTTAAAATCATTAATGTTAAATTCAAAAACATTAATGTTAAAATCATATATATATCTAATAACCTCGTACCCCGTGTATTTAAAATCTAGTATCGTTAAAATCGAAATGTATGTCCTGTATGGCCTATAATTACCCATTAAATAGTTGTTACGTTAACCCGTCTCTGAGTAAGTCACTTCCGGTGCGCTGTCTCTCCCTCCATTCCGAATCTGATCGCTCCGATACGCGACCGCTCGGGTGGCCTAGTTAGCGCGGCTTCCGTGTCAGCCGAGATGCGGCAGTGTCATCCTGACAGGGCATCGAAGAGGTGCTGACCCTTCGGTCACAAATATCATAGATTTCAGATAATATTTAGTTTTCTACACATTACAGCTTAATATGATTAATAATAAATCAATAAATCCCCTGATTGAAGCAATAACGAGAGAATTTCTCCGAACGGATCCTTATGTAACCATTAAACTAACCAACGGTCTTGGTGGTTCAATAATACTGCTTTCCTTTACATAATATCTGTTTTCTGGGACGGGTAAACTGTGCTAATTTCATTAACGTGCAACAAAGACACAGGAATTGCAGAAGCAACAGCAACCTTTACTAGAGATACGCTGGTGTTGATCTGCATTACGATTGATTATCGAAAAATTCTTATAATAATTAATTTGTTAAAATGATTTCCTAAAGGATGTTCTTATTTATAAAGAAACTTTTAAAAATTGAATAAAACAGTTAACTTTAAACGAAACAAATTGAAATGCAATTTTAGACATTTTTCGTATCACCCGAAAAGCACATTTATAGGTCTACTGAATTCACCCACTCGTACAAGTTGCAAAATTTATAGCGAGTTCCGTTTCTTTTAACAAACAATTGACATTAGGATAGTCAAATGGTAAACATCCTAAACAATACATAGTTATACAACAGTTTAAAGTGAAGAAAAGTTCACGGATTTTTCAAATTTCCTAAGATGTTACACATTAAAAACATTTGTGCCTGAACGATAAATAGCATATATCTAATACATCGGTTTGTTCAATACAGCTTGAGTGAATGCAAATTTTAATAATTTTGCGTAATCATTCATAATGTCTAAAACTTAAATCAAAGACTAAATTTCAACTTTTATACATTTACCATCGACACATCGTTTTGGTAAATATGAATATGGGTTATATATTTCCACCATTCGTTTTCTACGTGTTTTCCCTGACTAATTATAATATGCCAATGAGGACCATCTCCAAGAAGAGGCAGAAGAATTGTGAAGCCCAAAGCGAAGAATATCGGAAGTGTATATCTGCAAGACAAACAAAATATAATACACGAAGCAGTGACAGTAAGATTTAAGTATTTTACCTGATAACTCGCTTGACTGTAAACATGATATAGTATTTCGCAGAGTTTCGTCCACTTTTTTGTCTCAGATACATTACCATAAACCCGCTGGACAAAAAATATTATTCGTTATTAATTTTAAACGCAAAAGTATTTTTGCAAAAAACCTATAAATCTTAGAATTATTATTATGATAGCAAATGTAAATATTCTTCGAAATCGTATTTAGATGTAACATTTAAATTAAAATGATTTTACCTGCAGAAGAAGAATGATTCCATCACAGTGAGACCTTGGAGTATAATTTCGAATAAATGGAGATCCACATGCTTGAACATATTGGAATATTTATCTTTAAAATATAAGTATTGTTATTCTTTTAATAATGGATAAATATAAGAAATGTTTTGTATCAAATATGAGTTTTAATAATTGATGAAATAAAATATATACAGTCGACCTCCCTATAAGACAGTAGATACGTTCCATTATTTAGGAATCCGATTTCTTACGAGTCCTTCCAATCACAGCCCGACACGCAGAGCCGTAACTAGGCAGGTGCAACAGGTGCACCCGCCCAGGCCCCCTTGGAAGGGGGCCCAAACTGCTGTTCGCAAGAAATTATATTTTTAAATTTAAAATTTTTCCGTCTTTTTACAGCGCGGTTTGGCGATTACATTTTGTCTTACTTAGACCCTAGATGTCTGCTAACCGGTTTCCCAACTGTTGCGACTTTTAGAGGGACCTAGTGAGGTAGCAGAGACCACAGACAAATCAGCCAAAATCAGCCATGTGGTGTAGCGACTTTTGAAATTTTTTATTTTTTTGAGAAATTTAAATTTATGTTTATAGTTTTCAAATTTACAGATTTTTCTCTACTTTATAGCGCTCTCTGGCAACGACTAATATTTTTACGATATACAAAACTATATTTCTAGCTTTTTCTAGTGTGCAGAGCTAAAATCTTAGTCTCTAGGTTGTAAAAGGCGTGCAGAAATCCTGACATAATTTTTTGTTTTATAGTGGTTTGCATATGTGGTGTATACCTCAACGGCGGATTAAGCGGTAAACGAACTATGCTATTCTGTTGGGCCCCGAAAGGGCCCTCGAGGTCTTTAAAATGCTACTGAAAAAAGGGATTGCGAAAATGCAGAAGATAGAAATAGTCCAGAAAAACGCTTCGATATAGACATGGAGGTAATAAATGATAGTTTTATGGCTAACAATATTAATTAACAGATGCTATTATTGATCATATTCTTTAAAAAACTAAAAAGTATTAGGAATATAGAGAATTTGAAATCAGTGTGTAAAGACAGAGATAAAGTGTATTACAAAAGACTTTTTTATGATCATTTTTACAGAAAGAAGTCAAATAAAATTGTGGAAAAGAGAAATTGGCTGATATTTTCAGAAAGAAGCAAAAGTGTTTACTGCTACCCTTTCAAACTCTTTTCAACATCAAAGTCTGAATTAATAACTCGTTTATTGAGTAGCGACAAAGTAGCGACTTTTCTAAATATCTGTGGTAAAATCAGCGACTTTTATCTTAAAATGTAGCGACGTTTATTTATGAACGTTTGACAACACTGCTGCTCACCAACATGAACATTCTAATGAATGGCAGAACTATATTTTCAACTTGCCTATGTTAGACTGATATTTTCAACGTGCCTATGTTAATTTGTTTAACTTAGGTTAGTGAAGTGATAATGGAACTCCACATCCTCCCTCAACTGCGGTTTTGTTGGTCCAGGTGCAATCTATTTGCATGCAGTCATAAAGGGTAATAAGAAAATGGCCATAAAAGGGAAGGAAGAAAAGGCGAAAAAGGGTGACAGGAGAGTAGGTAGAAGATCGGGAGAGAGAGGAAGCAGTAGTGAAGTGGTGGAGTCCGAAAGCGAAATTAAAGCTTAAAGTTTTTTTTGTGTTACGGCATTTGGTTGTTCGATTCTGTGTGACGAATCGGCGGAGCAAAATCCTTAATTCAAATCAGGTTATCTACAGTTAGGTTACAGTGTGAATACAGCAACGTAGTCACTATACTCGTGTTTGTGAAAACAGGTAGGAATGCAAATAATAATATTAACATTATTTGATTAATATAATATTAAGATTTCATTAATAGACACATGACTAACGTGCCTGGCTAACCCTGTCAAGTTTGTTATGTTGGGTTTTTGTTATTTCTGTAGGTAATTTTGTACTATTGTATTTGTATAGTGAAGTGATTTGCAATGTTAAGTTTTTATGTACTTGTAGACTATTTCGTTTAGTACTTTTTTTATGTACATTTAAGTTTTATAGTAAAATTTTAATAATTAATTTTATATGCAACGAATTTTTAGTTTTTATTATTTTCTGTAAAATGTTTGGTTGGAAAAAACATAGGAATATTAGATACGAGGGCATCTAAGCAAATGATATTTCGTCACATTTGCTCTATAAATAATAGCTAGTATACAGTTTACAGTATCTTATAACAGTTTTATACTTGTACAGGCAACATGTTAAAAATAATATTTTCGTTTAGTTCTGGTTTAAAAATGTCTAAGCAACTGTCGGGTGCACAAAAGAGAAATATAAGGAAACGAAAATTAGAAGAATGCAAGCCAATGTCGCAACAATTTGTTAAATGGCTAAGTACAGAAACACTAGAGAACAGAGGAAGTGCGGAAGAGGTCAAACCTAATACTGCTTCACAAGCTGATGATTCAACACTACATTTGACATCTACCCCTTCAATGAACGACAATTCTCAGAGAAGCAAAAATAAGGAGCCACTGCAAGAAGTAAAATCTATTACTTCACAAGATATTTTACTACAGTTGCCCCATAATAATTCAAAAGAGGACGAGCCTGCACAAAGTACTGTCTCTCAAATCGAAAATACTGTACAAAATATGTGCTCTACTGTTCCAGAAGAAATACTGCTAAATTACAACGATTTCCATTCCTGGCCTACTATTACAAATAAATTAATATATTCCTTTGTCATACATTGTCCGGATCAAGGCGACAACGTTAACTTTAACACGTTGAAAGCAGACGATTCAGGGCGCAAATTTACAAAAGACTGGTTTTATGTTAAACAAATTAATGGCGAAATTGTTAAAAGAAAGTGGATTTTATATTCCATTAATCAAAATGCAGTTTTTTGCTTTCCTTGCATGCTTTTTAGACACAAATCACATAATCTTTCAGATCCACAAAAAGGATTTCATGATTGGAAGCATCTTCATCCGGTTATTCCTTTACATGAAAATTCTCCGGAGCACCGAAATTCGTATGTGAAATGGAAAGTGATGGAAAAGAATCTAAAATTAGGAAATGCAATCAATGATTATGTAGTTAATTCAATTAACAAGGAAAAAAATGATATGGCGTGAAATATTGAAAATAATATTGGATGCTATTCTATTCTGTGCCAAAAATAATATTGCTCTTAGAGGTTCAAATGAAAATATTGGAGATCCAAATTGCGGCATTTTTTAAAATTTGATTGAATTTGCTAGCCATTATAATACTACTTTAAAGAAACATATCGAAAAACAAAAAAGATTCAGTTTCTTATTTCTCACCCATTATTCAAAATGAAATAATAAATTTAGTTGGGTACAAAACTAGAAATGAAATCTTACGCAGAATTAAGAAAGCAAAGTACTACACCATTGTATTCGACTGCACCCCCGATGTTTCAAGAAAAGAACAAATGAGTCAGATGATAAGATATGTCCATGTTGACTGTAATGGAAAGTTAATGATTGAAGAAAGCTTCATCAACTTTATTCAGTCACATGAAAAAAAGGGAGAAGGTTTATCGACTGAAATTTTAAATAAACTAGAAGTTGATAAATTGGATATTCAGGATTTCAGGGGGCAAGGATTTGACAATGGTGCCAATATGGCTGGCAAATATAAAGGAGTTAGTGCACGTATTTTGGAAATTAATAATTTAGCAATATTTGTACCTTGTGCAGCTCATAATCTAAATTTAGCTGGTGTCCACGCTGCACCTACAACTCCAGAAATGATTACTTTTTTTGGTATTGTGCATAGATTATTTAATTTTTTCTCGTCCTCAACAACACGTTGGGACATTTTAATGAAGTGCCTAAAATTGTCACTTAAAAGTTTTTCTGATACAAGGTGGTCATCAAAGGCCAGTGCAATAAAGGCGCTGTATTTACAATTACCTGAAGTAATGAAAGGACTGCAAACGATTTCAAATGATTTTTCAAATCCGGAAGTTGTATCTAATGCAAAAAGTTTGATTTTGCAAATTAATTATAAATTTATCTGTACTCTTTCTATATGGAATAAAATTCTGCAATGCATCGATCGAACAAATAAAGCATTACAACAGAAAGATTTGTCAATAGATTGTGAAACAAAATTAATTGCTGGATTACTTGGTACATTACAAGGGCTTCGAGATACAGGTTTTAATCAAAATTTGCAGGAAGTACAAAAATTGGCAGAAGAAATGGGTATAGAAAATGGATTTCTTAATAATAAACGAAAAAAAAAGTTAAGATAATGGAAATAGATAAAACACCAAATGAAGGAAATAACTTGACACCCGAAAAATTATTTAAAATACAAATTTACAGTGTTTTTAGACACTCTGATGTTTCAAATAGATTGGCGTTATCAAAAAATGAAAACTATCTGTGACGATTTTTGCTTTCTCTACGGCTCGTCTTTACAATACATGAGTGTTGATGATTTAAAAAAATCGGCTGCAGATCTCGCTATTAAATATAGCAAGAATTTTAAAAAGTACGAATTCACAAGCGAAATTGAAAGTTTTAAGTTTGAAGTAACGACTCTTATACAAAATATAGAAACTGCATGCATCTCCGGTTGATATTCTACAGGCTCTTCGTGATTTTGGTTTGAGTTTTACCCAAATATCAATGTCGCTCTTCGAATATTTCTAACTCTTCCCGTTTCTATTGCTTCGTGCGAGAGAAGTTTTAGCAAGTTAAAATTAATAAAAAATTATTTAAGATCAACTATCGGACAAGAGCGATTATCCAATATTTCTATTATTTCAGTAGAATACAATATAGTTGAAAATATTAATTATGATGATGTAATTAATGAATTTGCTGAAATGAAAGCCAGAAAAGTCCAATTAAGATAAATTTGATTAAAAATCTATTGTAATGTATTTGTTTTATTATTTTCCCAAACCAAATAAATTAAGGGGCCTACATACAAATTCTTGCACAGGGCACAGGAATGGCTGGTTACGGCTCTGCCGACACGTGTGAAGTTTACGGACTACGGCTGTTTGAAAGGTTTTCTTCCATAAAATTAATCGATTCTAGACTAATCCGACTCAACATTTCCAAAATACGTATATATTTTTGGAAATAATCCGTATAAACTACGCTATAAACAAACAATTGTAGGATTACTTACCGAGTGTGTTCCATTCAACATCGCCATTGCTCAAGCTTGTTTTCGTCGCGGAACAACTCAGCAAACCGCGGCCGCGATTTCTGATGTTATTTTTCTGCGAAAACTTCAATGAACTTTGGAGACATCATTAATATAAATAATTTTTATGGCCGTTGAATAAGAAATGTTTCTTTCACAAGAAATGTATAAAATTACAGTACTGTATTAGACTTACGGTACCTAATTTACATACTGTACAGACGATAGTTAGCGTAAAATCTCCGTAGCGTGGCGCTACGCTAGACGGCGAAAATTATAAATTTAATTATAACAAAGTTACAGTAAGTTAATATATAATTATATATACAGTACCTAATTTATATATAATTAATATATAATTATATGTACAGTACCTAATTTATATATAATACTGTACAGACGATAGTAATCTCTCTGTAGCGTGGCGCTTGACGGCGCGGAAAGTAGTTCGGCTGCCTGATGACGTTTTACGTAATTATAGGAGTTTTTACTGTTTTTTACGGATACCGTCGCAATTTTTTTGCTGTCTTATAGGAATCGTAATTATAGGAACCCGTTTTATAGGTGGGGTCTACTGTATTAATTAGCTAGCTATACCCGCAGCTTCGCTAGCGCGGATTTTGCAATTTGATGAAAATTTTATACAAAAACTAAGGGAATTGCACAGAATTAAGAAAACACAAGTGGATTTTTAGTCGATTGCTTTGGTTTCGAGTTTTCAAAATCGAATTAAAACAATATAACTGAATAAAGGCAACATTTGATACTCAAGTATATTCGGTTATCCTTCGTAATCCTGAATAAATAATAACTTAGAACTAACTTCGATTAATTAATTAATTTACATATTTTTTAATAACGCAATTTCAATAATCTTACTGAATCATTTTCCTCTCAGCAATTCGAAATGCTTAGTCTACAAAGTAATCGAGTGAGTGTCACCCATGAGTTTGCGTTGTAAATTTTTTTAACACAAGACAGAATTCGTATGAAAAACTAATAATTTGTTTTTTAAGAGTACTTTTTTGTTTTTAGAGATTTCTTTCATCAACCAATTTTTGAATATTCGTATTCACTTTCTAATGTTTCGAGTCCATCCTGATTTACTTCTGATCTAAATTTCACCAGAAACTTTCTTGAATTACGGAATTTTTTGTATTGTATACTGATTTCCATCTATTTTCAAACAAATAATTGTAACTTATAACGTAACTCGTTATTAAATTTCTATAAAAAATTGTACCTTATTTTCGGGAACTGCCTTACCGGTATTCGGTACAGTAGTTTTTCATGTGCTTCTGCAGAAACACGCGTCCTTCTTTTGCAATATTAAAATTTAGTCTGTATATTAGGTTTGAGATGTGCTGTAAACAAATTACAACATCTAGTCTCCAAGTCGTTTTTCTCTCTTCGCTTGTACATATTTTTCCATTTATGTTTTTACACTCTGTCGCTGAGTTTTGCAAAGAGGTTTCAGAAATGAACATATGCGTATCACCAATACTGAAACACTTTGCAAGTATTTGCAGATTAACTTCACAAAAGAGTTGGAGGTAGAAAAAGCAACTTACAAATTGAACGAATGATAGAACTCGTGACAAAAATCATCAAATTGATTGCACGTATGATAAGAAGGATTTAACCATCAGTGTACGGCATGGCACGAAACACGACCCATTGTGCGGTATTAGAGAAAACGATTTCCACAATTTAATAAAATGATTTTGCCTAATTATGGAGAGATTACTATATCGCTCCAGAGGGCAGGGTGCCCCAATTTGTTTCGTTTGCGCCAATTTGCGAGTTCTGTGCGTCTATTTTAGGCTTTTCAGTGCCTTTAGATTGTGCTATATTATTTTGCGCTTTAACGAGGCCATAGGGGAAGCGGCTGCTGAACCTCCCAGTTGGTCCTGCCTGTGAGTAACCCCTAGTGGGCGAAACTAATCAGTAGCTGCGCTTGTTCAAAACGTTACAAAGAGTCCTTTTAAGGACTATGGCCAAGAGGCCGAAAGTTTCCGAAACGGATGACGAGACGTCATCTCAGAAAATGGAAGTGTCTCTCCAAGCAGAGAGAGTACTGCTAGCGGAAAGTATCCGCGACGAAATCCAAGAGTATATGATGGCGAACAATTCAGGCAAGATGACGGTAAAACGCACAACGTTCATCATCGAAAAGATCGACAAGATCATCGATATCCTAAGAGACAGTGAAGAGGATCCGCTGTGATGAACTCCATCGAACTGTGATGGACTCCATCAACCAAAAGTCGGATAAAGTACTTTTAGCACCAACAACAAAGCCAGTACAGAGTTACGCACAAGTAGTGTCAAAGAAGGCGAAGCAGCAGCCTAAAGGAATTCTACTGGTGGAGTTAGAACAGGAGGGTGGAGACCCAGAAAGGACCAAACAGCGTCTGAAAAAGAATATCAACCCAAGAAAACTAGGAGTTGGGATCCAAGAAATGAGGAAATTAAAAAGAGGCGGGGTAGCGATTGAAGTTAACACGGCAGAGGAAACGAAAAAACTGAGGGAAGAAATAGAAGAAAAGACTGGCCTGAAAACCAGAGAGCCAGTGAAGAGACGACCTCGCATTGTCATCTACGGAGTGACCAAGGATGCCCCAAAAGAAGAAGTTGAAGAATGTCTATTTGAACAAAATGAAATCATAAATAGTAATATAGATATCAATGAATACAGAAAAAAAGTAATATAGATATCAATGAATACAGAAAAAAAGTAATATAGATATCAATGAATACAGAAAAAAAGGAACTGAAATTCAAGTACGGTAGTCGGGAGAAACAAACGGTGAATTGGGTGGCTGAAATAAGCCCAAGAGTCCGTCAATTACTAATGACTAAAAAGAAAATTAACCTTGGCTGGTCAAGGTGTGGCATAGAAGAATACATAAATGTCACTCAATGCTATAAGTGTTGTAAAATTGGGCATATAGCAAAAAAATTGTGGAAAAAGACATTGTCTGTAGTCAATGCGGAGAACCACAAATTCAAAGATTGCCCAAATAAAGCAAGAGCTGACTGCTGTAATTGTAGAAAAGAGAGACTGAAAGATACGAACCATAACGCATGCGACAAAAAGTGCCCCCAAATACAAAAGGTAAGACGTATGATAATGACCAAAATAGATTATGGCTACAATTAGTCAGGAAGGAAACAAAAGGATAAAAGTATTACAAGTAAATACACAAAGGTCAATTGGGGCTACATCTGCACTCTGTAAGGTAATGGAAAGGATGGATGTTGCTCTAGTTCAGGAGCCCTACTGCCTGAGAAGTACACCGGGTTGTCTAAGGGTTTCTTATCGAACCTTATATGACAAAAGTGAAAGACCAAAGACTTTGGCTATTGTCAACGACAACTCCATCCCTGTGCTATACTACACTCAGTGGAGCAACAGAGGAATGACCTGTATAAAAATTGGAAATGGAAACAACAGTGTAAATATGGTGAATGTCTATTTCCCGATAACAAACGACTTGGGACCATTTCTTAGCGAACTGGATGAATTGGTTAAAAACTTTAAGAACAAAAACATTATAATAGGAGGAGCCTTAAACGCTTATTCTCAGATATGGGGAGATCCAGAGAATGATGAAAGAGCAGAACTGTTGCTTGAGTTTGTGAGCTCGAATGAAATGCACATCTTAAAGGATCCAGATTCATTGCCCACCTTTGAGGGCCCAAATGGCCAAAGTTGGATAGATATAACAATATGTAACAACAGAGCATTAAGGATAATCCAAAGCTGGGCTGTGGCACCAATTTCCAGAGTCAGTGATCACAATTATATCTTCATTGAGATTGGGCAGTGTGGCTGAACAGAGGAAGAAGTTTCGTTTCAATTTAATTACAATATAAATTTTAAAAGTTATATTTTTATAGATTTCGCATTAACAATGTGATAAAATAGATGAAATAATCAAATATAATCGTGATATATGTAATATCAATAAAAGGAATAAAAGACATTTGGTATATCAGTGAACGTTCTATATGGTCAGTAAAAACTATTNATCTTCGAAAAATTTACAAGTTTATGTTTAGTAAAGTTCATTGACTTATTATTCTAATATATACATAACTTTTTTTCCTATAACATTTAAAAAAACGTATTTGTTATATTGAAAAGCTGTAATAGACATTTATATAGTTTCTGTTAAATGTATCAATTATAGGCAAAAGATAAATGGCAAGTCAATTTTACTAGCAAAAAAATTGATGGACAAAATTTTATAGATAAAAAACATCGGATATACTAGTTGGATTGAACATAGTAATTTACAAAAGTTATTAAATCATTTCTCAATGTATAACGAATTATTTTTATTTAACGGTAAATAAATACAAAAAAATCTTTTTAAAAACTGAAGCTACAGTTATTTAGATATCAAACTTCTTCGCTGTCAAACATCAAATAATTGTTATTGGCAGAAATATTATAAAAAGCATCGTTCGTTTTGCGATATTTAATAAATAAGTAACAAATATAATTTAAAAAATTATTATATTTAACTATTTCCCTATTTTACTTTGTCTTATTGTTAAAATATTATTTTAAGTTGTTGTGCTTTAATTCACTTAAATATTAGAACAAATTGCAAAATAACGAAATGAATTGAGTAGTTTTCTAAATACTAAAATTATTATTGCTGATCATTTGATCTGAAATTATTATATCTGAAATAATTATTGTTTCAAGATATTTAATGAAAACTAAAAAATGAAATGAATTGTAAAGTTTTCTAAATAAGGAAACTAAAAAAATTTGAGAATAAAATTACACATAATTTTAATTTACCTAAGAAATATTTGTTCTGAAAATAATTTATAACTTTAAAAATTAATATGAAAATTATACACCACAAATTATTTGTAATTTTAATTTAATTGACATCTGAAATTAATTATATGATTAAGATTTTTATTGAAAAGTTAATTTACTTTAAATTTGATTGGAATGAAGTCACTGAATATCAAAATCTTTCAAATAATTTTATTAAGCAACACATACATAAGTCTGATATAAAAAAATTTAAATTAGCAACGATTAAAAACTACGACTTTAAGCGTATTAAAACATTATCTAAACTGGAATTATGTTTCTCGTTACCAAATACTTGGCCAGCAATTTATTGTTAAAATAAAATTAAGATTTATGATTGGAAAATTAATTTTGTGATCTGAAATAATTCCATTCAACAAATTTTTATTTGTAATTTTAATTTAATTGACATCTGAAATTAATTTTGTGATCAAAGCTGCTCAAACCACTACTACTAACATCTAACGCAGTAATTATAAAATTGCATAAAAAATATAAGGGGTACTTAAAAAACAAGTAATGGGCTAATGGTTGAGAAACACTGGTTGTACATTATTGTATACATTAGATAACGCAGAAATAAATGTGCTTACCCGCCAACATTATGGGTATTAGGAAGGTACAGTACTGTACAAATGCGACCATCGCATTTGTACCTTATATCGAATACTTTTTATTCCTCCTGTATTTATTTGCCCGTCTATCGAATACTGGGAGGAATATAAGTCTCGTAGCAATTCCGGTTTTTACCGAAATTGTGAGAAATAAGGCAGTGGAAGGCTCGTACAACTCGAAATTATTTCTGTCCTTTCTAAGTGAGTATTGTTACGATAAGGAGAACGTATTATTAAGATTATTTTTAATAACGGATGACCTAAAATTTCATTACTTTGACATTGTTACGTGATACTTCACGGAGCAGTCCATAAATTACAAATACTTACCACCGTACTCATCGCAGCTTAATCCTTTAAAGGAATACTGTACTTCACTGCATTTAAAAGCAAATCTTACAATGTCATACTAAAAGTACAATTGATCAGTTGCCGCGTATTATCTATACAACGAAGTCGATCGTTGAACCCTATTGTTTTTACCTGTTTGTCAATGTAATTCACCAGAGAGCATATAATGCATTAGCGTTAGTATAACATTATCGAACACTAATTGCAAATATTTTTTTTCTGACAGAGTAAAATGAATCCAATCATGTAACGTAGGTCTGCTTTTATATAAGCGAAACACTAAATTTTCGAATTGGGAATAATAAAGAACAAAACATAGTTTGATGTAGTCTTGTTTCTTACATAAATTTAAATAAGCGACAAGATAAAAATTTGAATAATTGATGCGACTGGACCATACTAATCTGTCATTCCGTTAAACTGTAGGAATTATATTCTGACTTCTCACATATATGTGTATAAAAAACTTTAATATCAAATAGATCATCGTAGGTTCATAACAGAATAAAAAAAAATATTAAGGTTGGAAATTTTTGTTTTATAAGACGATAGTCTACATTTTAAAAAGTTAATTAAAAGTCATAATATAATTAAATTTATCATATTAACTGTGACAGTGAACTAATTCGATAATAGAACAATTAAAATTGTGTTACGGTAGCGAGCCTTTTGCATATACTATGGCATAAATATTTATGAATATTAAATATTATATCTTACAGTAAAAGAAAAATACCTATTATTGTGGGGAACATTCCTGTCACGCCTAAATGTCCCAACACCACAATATTTACTAGAAGAAATTTTACTCCGCAAATCGATTTTGTACTTTCGTCAAGATTCGTCGAATATAATTTATGCAAAGATTTATAAGGTGAAGCTCCGAGAATATACCCAAAAAATCTACCTAAAAATATTAAACATTAATAAATTATTATTTAGGTGAAGTTAACTGATAAAAGATATATATACTAATCCTAATTTTTATTTATATAAATTACAGAATGCGATGATAATAGATTTTGAAGCATTTCGAGTTATCGACAGTTGACCATAAAAACATTACAAAGTCATATAGAAGCTGTAATCGACATTGAAATAGATTCTGTTAAAAAGTATGAAGGATATTTTATAGCAAAAAATTCATATATTAAATTTTATAGACAAAAAACTTTTTAAAAACTAGAACAACAATTATTTAGACATCGAACTTCTTTTAGTGTCTAAGATTGAAAAATATTAAAAAATTTGTTATTACCACAAATATTTTAAAAAGCATTGTTCTCTTTACGATATNTAATCTTAAAGAGTTACCTTTACCTGCTTTGAAAGGAATAATATGAAGTCTCATTAATATTTCTGTTAACGTTGCCAATCCTACCCATGCGATAAATATGCCGAGAACAATTCTAAATTAAGGCAATTAATAGTTTCACATTAATTTACTTAAATATAATTTATATCATTTAACAATCAATTAAGTAACTATTATTGTAATTATATCTGTTTGAACGTACGAATATATATCATTTCAGTGTATATAATCACTTAAGAGCTATATTAAAATTGGATTGTTTACAAATGTCTTAAATACTTGCTTAATGAAGACTTTTCACTTGTGAAGCTTCGGACTTTAGTTGAGTTTAGTTTATAGGTTGTAGTGAGACTTAACCCATGTAGGAAAATAAGGAAAGAAGAAAAGGAGGGTGTGTACTGGAAGAGGAGAGGGAGAGAGTAAAGAATGAAAGTTGAAAGCTTGGAAGGATGAGGGAAGGTAGGAACTCATAATTGACCCGCATCACAATGAATAAAAATAATCCTGGTATAAATATACAGTAAAAAGTGTCATTTTATTTGATGAACAGTTTATATATAGAGTTCGCATTGTTCATCCATATAGGACAATATATTACAGCAGAATTTAAGAGCAGGGTGGTGGCTTGTGACGACGTTGTTGACCTAGTAGTTCGTCGTTGGCAGGTTGTTGCTTGGGGAGAGTACGCCACACTTCTCGGCAAATGTGCAGAGTAGTTTGAAGCTCTGGTCTGGATCCGAATCGCCAGCAAAATTTGTCTCTTAGAAATTTTAGATCTAAATTACCAAAAATCATTAAACAATTCCTATTTGAAGATACACGATGATGGGGACAGACAAACATTTAAATCCTATCGATTTTGGAATTTGGTGTCGAATCAGACGTTGACATCTACCTTTCCGAAGTTATGAGCTGATACCGAATATTCCCTGAAAACTGGTTCAAAACCAATCGAAAAACATCAACGAGGAAGAATAACTAACAAGAAAAAACATGTGCGAAAAAGACAAATTGAATTTTGATATTCCAGTTCTTTCTTTAGGAGATACTATTTCTACAATTCCTATTGAACTATTGTCAAAAGATTCCGTCTCTTGTACGTAAGTGTTCTCGAAGGTCTCATCGATTCATTACGTATCTCTCGTAACTCTTTCAGCAGATTATTCCGTACGTGTGACGTTTTCACTCTTCGAACATTCCAATTGATCCGTCGTGTCCAGTCTATTCAGTTTTCCTCGATAAACTTATATTCTAAAGAATGGAGAATCTTAGGATACATGACGCCATTATCCGCTATACATCGAAGAGCGGAGGAAAACTCATTATTTGTTCGGCTCGAGACCCAGATGTTCGATTTTGACCATGCCATTGGACAAGCATGAATACAACTTTTCTGTCGTAATCAAGACACTCGTTGACCTCTGCATGTGGTTCGCATCGAACTTCAAAAGTGAGACAATTAAGACTAAAGAGTACTAAACTTTTCTAAGTTAACTGTAAACCTGAAAGACCTATTGAAAAACTTGTCAGACTCTTATCTTTCTGTATGTCTAATAAACGGGTTGTCGCATTCTAGCTCCAACAGACTCAGTGTCTAGGAATACACGTACTGTACATACTGCCCGTCTTTAATCATTCTATAATCTTCATTTAGTCTTTAATCTATGCAATTTTCAAGCAATATTATATTGTCAGTTCAGAGGAAGTTTACTTGCCTGTTGCATTAACTTTATCGAAAAAGTAAAACGAAAAATTCTGCTTCGAAGACAAATAACATTTAAAACTGTTCGGAAGTGTCGCAGATATAACTTTTAAAACTCCATACTTTATATTTATACGTCTTATACTTACAAAATTCTTTGTCTTTCAGTAATATGAAAACCTAGAATGAAACTCGAGTAAATTTCAAAACACAGTACCGAATAATTTTTCTGTTTTGAAACGTTTTCATTTTACTTAGTTCCCGCAATTGACACCTTTTAACGCATTTAGCGACTGTTCAACCAAGGAAGAGATTTCTTGTTTATTAATGTTCTTAAACTATTTTATTTAATATTATATATTTTATAGCTCATTAACGTTAATGATTTTTCATGTTATTTTACAGAATTAATGAATTTAAATTGTATGTCTGTGTTTACTTTTGTGTGAGGGATAAAACACTATCACCTGCTGTGCATCGAAGAGCGGAGAAAATCTCACTATTATTCGTTTTTATACTGAGATTTAACCATTGATAAACTAAAAACAATTATTACAAAATTTCGTTTATATTCATTCATTTAAATTTTTCGTTTTTATTACAAAATATATTTTGCAATGCTTTTGATTAATTTAAATCTATTTTTGTACTTTTTAAATATGTAAAGTGACCTCACGTAGTTAAAATTAACATTTATATATTTCAATAAAGTTAGATATTTTAATAATATTTACTTACTCTCTGTTTTAAATACGTTGTGTATATCTAAAAATTATGTAAACATTTATAACGACAGCCAAATATGTAGTAACGGTAAATAATCCTAGGAAATCCATTACAGCAATATTGTAACAGTTGCAATGCGAACACAACTGTATTGTAATACTTATTTTACAATTTTGTTTTCATTTGAACGATAATCTGTGTTACACCAGTGTCGAAAAACAAACTGTGAGATTTTCGACTTTTATGTATTTTGGCAGAATTTGGCAGAAAGATTTTACAAACCAATATATTCGTATCACTATTTCAGAAACATTTTGCAGCTATTTGCGGATTAGTTTTATACAAATGTTTTAGTCGAAAAATCAATGGACTAATTGCACCAACGGAAACATTCGTCATAATTAGCATGGAAGAAATTTTTACTTTCAATCTACAGCTTAGCAGTAAATACAATACCTTATGCAGAATAAACAAGAAGAATCCCATAATTTCACAAAAGAATTTCTCCTGAATACGACCATAGTAATAAGTCGCTCTCGCAAAAATTACTCTAATTTTTTTAATTGTGTTACGTATAAATTCCAATGTACCAGATGTTTTGTGACCTTTTGTAAGTATATTTTACGGTATCGAACCACGCTGTACCGAGTCAAGTAAAAAGAGATACAATTGAAAGAACAAACATTAAATTATCACTTATTTTATTCAGCAATTATATACAATCTATAAATGAATACAGGAAAACCAACAATAATGGTGTAAAAGTAAACTATAAAATATTAAACACTACGTTTTCATACATCTGGTTGCAAACAGGGAACGAAAGCTAGAAGACGTTTTGTGAAATCTTAATGATGTATTAAAGGCCAAATGCAACAGGGAAATAATGATTTGTTTAAGAGAAAATCGAAAGAAATTCTTAAAAAACACTGAAAGATAGACAATTAAACAGTGTAGAGAACATCTGACAGAAGGTTTAAAAGATTTGTGAAGTCGGGAACTGCACAGTGAAAGAAACCGTTAAAGAAAGTGAAAAAGATGCTAATATCAGGAACATCAATGTGATTGTGAAAAGAAATCTCATAATGTTTTCGCATGAATTCGAACCCATTCAGGTAACATTTAAAGATTTCATGAAATTTATCTTTGAAAGAGGCAAAAAAAGTATACCAAATTACGCGGATTTACAACGTTCTGGAAAAGAATGCGAAAGACTTTTTAGACTAAAAAATATCCAGTGGCAAAATTTAGGAAAGAAACCAAATTCGTTCTTAATTAACACTATAAACAATAAACGAAAAATTTAGCAGAATAGAAACATCTGTTAAGACATTCCGCTCGAATACAGGTATTGACTAAATGATAGATAAAATAAGAGTTTAGAGGTCGACCTATAATAGAATGCTGAGTTATAGTAAAAACTAGAACACATTACATTATTCTGTTCATCAATTCTTTGAATTAAAAGAAAAAAAGTAGAAGCAGAAACAGTTGATGATTTAAACTAAAATATTTCAAACAGAAATCAAGATAAACGATACGCATTTAAATAGAAAATAAATTTCTCTTTAATATCATGTAATGTTCTTCAGAATAAAATAGATTCGATTTGCTATTTTCGTTCTTAAATTAATTTTTGTCGTAAGTATATTCATTAAAATTTAAATATTACCGCGTTTTTTACAAAAAAATTTATTATTTATAAATTTGCCGAATTTTTCTTTAATTTTAAGTTATTTTAATACTTTTGATTTTCTTAATTTAGAATGATTAGCTTAATAAAAATATACTCACAACGATATCAATTGTCCGTTAGTGTATTCAATGCGTTCATCTTTGATTTTGCAATATTCGACATTAAAGTCTACCGCTGTCCCGAATACTAAAAAGTAAAATAATGAAAGTAATTAAACAATTATATAAGTTCTCATTATTAACTTTTCGGAATGAGAATTTAATTTATAGTGTATTTCATTTTCAATTTATCAGATAAAATTACGTTCAAATGCATTTCTTTCCTCTCTTGGCTGTCTGTTGGATAAAGTTTGAAATATTGTGCAATCAAATTTAACTAACAGAAGGACAAGTATTTTAAGAAAAGAAAGCCGATCTATCAAAGCGGTGCTTCTCTATATCGACAGGAATTTCAATAAAAACTTTCTTCCTCTACTTTCATCTGAAACATCTGAAGAGAATCGTCAGTTTTTTTTTTACAAATTATTAACAGAACCTGACATTGGTGGGCACTCCACGTCTTACAGTTACTACTTCCTTATAAAATTAGTTTTTTTTTAATATTATACAATTGTCTCTTGTTAATTCGAACTCGTTATTGTAAAGAGTACAAATTAGTGAATGGTAATTTTAAAAATTCTTTATTCTAAATTCCGTATTTATATCGACGTTAAAATACATAGTGTATATAAGCATTAATTCTACAAAGTTATTATGCTTTGTGTTAAAGCGATTTTTTTTGTTTTGTTTTGGCTGAATATAATAAACACAATTGTTTAAGTTTCAATCAATAGTTGATTAACGCATGTTCGAATTTACAAGAGTATTTCGTATAATTGTTTCTGTGAAAGACCGTCGATACATACAAAATATCTCAGTGAATGACCGAATATTTGGTTATATCATTATACATTCGAACAATCGCCGGTGTATGTCGACAAGCACAGATAAGCTTTGATAAAGGTCGAAACGACACCGGAGAAGCCGATGTCAACAGAGAGGCGACGGTCTGTCGCCAAATCCTTTGTGAGTAGCCGGAGGTAAGAAAAGATCGTACCTCTTTTCCCGGAAACGGTTTGGTGGAAATCGCCCACTTTGCACAGGATAGCGTTTTGTTCTTTTGATCCCGTGAGGTGGGGATCGGTTTGTCAGGTCGAGTGTCGGAGGATGAGAGGGGGCGTCGGCGATATCCGAATAAAAAACACCATTAACAGATCAGTTTGTAATGACGTAATAACATAATCAGTTCGTGATTTGTAAAGAAAAGTTATTTACCATGGATGAGATTTCTTTTCAATAAATATCGCCGAGAGAAGCAGCTGCAGCTAATTCTAAAAGTGGAGGGCAAGGCTATACACGCTGTCAATGCAAAAAGAAGTGTTCCACGAATAAATGCAGTTGTAAAAGCGAGGGACTCTTGTCAAATTTAAAGTGCCATAACAGTTGAAGTTGTTGCAATAAATAAGATTGTATAACGTTAATCACATAATTTATGTGTAAATTTATTATTGTATTATTTTGTTTAATGATTTACAATGTACTGTTCGTTTAAGGCTCGGCAGTTTATTTACATTTGCTGATACTTAAGCTTTCTCCAATTTTGACATATTAAAAAGTTGCATTTTTGTCTTAACTTAATAAAAATATTTATATTTAACATTCACCATCAGTGCATGCTGAATGTCGACATTTGCTGGTGTAACTGAAAAATAATGATATTTAGCAAATATTTCGTACATACACGAAACGACTGTGTGAATGCTGACATTCACCGGAGTATATCGTCATTTTCCAGATATCGGTCATTTACAATAACATAATTACAAAATATCAAACGACTTACTCCAATTCCCAACGTGTTTTAAGTCTTTATTATTACATGTACTCGGAATGCACGCATCCAAACGTATTCTTATTCGTGTAGAGGCTAACTCTGTTCTCAATAAGTCGTCATACTTCATTGGTTTCTAAAAAATTCATTAATTCGTTGTATAAATAAATTTAACTGACACACTATACTAAACTGTACTAATCCGTCGCAAAATTTTTGTTTACAGTTTAATACTTACAATAATCTCTTTTGCTAGTTTAATCAATGAATTATTTTCGAACTTATGAATTTACTTTGCAATACGTTTCATCGATTCTTGCATTCCAACTGTCAGGGCACAGTATTTGCCTCGAATCTGCTCCTTTCCTTTATCGGTAATCACTTTTTTATTTTGAGGAATTTCTATGTCCAAACACTGGTCATAATCTCCCGATATCCACAGTGTCATTTTTAACATTCCTGCCGGTAATTTTCCAAAAGAATCAATCACTGAAAATAGCAAATACATATAATTAAAGTTATCTTTATGTATCACCTGTTTGAAAAAGTAAATCGAAACAAAAAATTATATTTTTCCGTGAAGACTCACAGTACAGAGAACCTTTGATACATGCTGTTAACCCCTTCCAGAAAACTAGCACACAAGCGAAACCCCAAATGTCGGTGCTAACAATAAACCGAAAATCAGTAAATTTTTAAACGTGTCTGAAACCGTAATTTGTACATTTAGATTCGATGGGAGGAGAGGAAATGATGATTACCAAAGATTTAAGATAAAGTACAGTGTGGTTGCACAAGTACAGTAGACCCCCCTATAACACGGGTTCTTATAATTACGATTCCGATAAGACGGCGAAAAAATTGCGATGGTATTCGTACAAACCTGGTAAAAAAACTCCTATAATTCGTTAAAACGTCATCAGGCAGCCGAACTACTTTCCGCCGTCCAGCGCCACGTTACGGAGAATTTAGGCGGTTAAATTGAGTTTACTATCGTCTGTACAGTATGTAAATTAGGTACTGTAAGTCTAATACAGTACTATAATTTTATACATTTCTTGTGAAAGAAACATTTCTTATTCAACGGCCATAAAAAGTATTTATATTAATGATGTCTCCGAAGTTCAACGAAGTTTTCGCAGAAAAATTACTTATCAGAAATCGCCCGCCGTTTGGTGCGCTGAGATTTTTTATGATATTTTGTGTGCATCTTATTATTTTATATTAGTGTTATACATTTGCTGAATGCGTTTTGCATCTGGAACAAGAGTCCGTCGAAATTTTTCAAATTGGATACTCCGTTAAGAAGTTATGCCATTTTGAAAATTTGGATTTTACGAATTCGGTTTACCGGACTTAGTTGACCGATCATCCGGATCATGGTACGCTATTTTATTAGCACTATGTATGTGAGTAAAACTTTAAAATTTAATTGTTCTGGACTTAATATTTGCGGAATTATCGACTATTTCCGGTCTAAATTCGAACTCAGTTAACTTTCTTCCGGTGGGCCATTTTCACAAAATACTCAGGCAGTTCTCTTAAGACCCTAAACGTAACCTGCTCAGAAAATTTCGTTATCATCGGACTAATAGTTTTTAAATTACGGCAATTCTTAGATTTCATCAAATTCAACATCCTGTTAAAGGTCATTGACCTCAACTTCTATAAGCTTCTAGAACATTAACCGGAAGTTGGGTTTTTCTCGCTTTCTAATAAAATTTATACTATTTTACTTAAAATGGAATCTATAATGCAGAAGTTTCGTGAAACTACTAATGGTATTATGGACGAAATTAGGCAATATTCTCGCCGATTTCCGAACGCTAAATTTGGAGCTGATTGCCACTTATCATTTATCTTAACACAATTCTCGAGATTAGTCGAACTTGCTGAGGTAACCCTTCACAATAACAATGTAATTAATGAAACATTATCTGGATTAGTAACAAAGGAAGATTTATTAAGATTTACAGAAACTCAAAATAAAGAAACTAGCAAAATTATGAAGGATATTCAATATACCATGCTTACCAATAGGGAAAACATATCAGATGATTTTAGTGGAGGCAACGACTCTTGTCCTTCGAGTTATAGGGATGTTCTAAAGAAAGGATTAAAACCAACTCTTAATGTAAGTGAACCGCCTCCGCCAAAATACACAGTACTAGTTTATAGCAATAAGAAAGAGGCTACTTGTGAGGAGACAAAAAAGCAATTAACAGACAATCTGAATCCTGGAGTGTTAGGTATAGGAGTACGAAATGTTAGAAAAATAGGAAATGGAGGTATCGCTGTGGATTTACAACACAAAAATGAAGTCAAATATTTTAAAGAGAATGCAGAAAAAATTCCTAATCTAAGTGCAAAATTACCTAAAAAAAGATTACCTCTGATAAAAATAGCATCAGTACCTAAATGTGTAGCTAAAGAAGATCTAATCTTACAAATTTTTGAGCAGAATGCATATCTATTAGATACTTTTACTGATAGAATCTTTGCTGAACAGGTACACATTAAGTTCTCATTAAATGAGAAGAATACTGAAAATGTCTCCTGGGTACTGGAAGTAACTCCAGAGATCAGACAAAAGATGATAAAAGCTGGGAAAATTTATCTACAATGGTCTTCATGTCGTGTTTATGACTACATTCCAGTAATACAGTGTTACAGATGTCTATCTTTCCATCACTTTGCTAAACGTTGCCCTGAAAAAGAAAATATATGTAGTCACTGTAACGAGAAGCATCTATTTAAATGTTGTCCGAATAAGCAGAATCCACCCAAGTGTATTAATTGCTCCCGAGGAAATTTAGACAATAACGATCATAACACCATGGATAAAAATTGTCCAGTTTATATTAAAGAGAAAGCTAGACTTCAACAGATGACTTTATACAGTTGATATATATTCGTGATGACTACATTGTTGATATACTTTTGTATTGACTGCATTATCTTCTATGTTTAGCACTTCTCTCTTTAAATGTGAATTCTCTGTTTGATAATTGATTGTCGTTAATGCTTCATATGTAGCTAAAATATTTAAGATGTCATGCATCATATGTGATTTCTGTGATACTACGTACCATAATATAATTGAAATATGTAATGTGTAATTATGATATATTCTAATATTGAACATATTGTTCAATTACTTTGTACTTTACTATGACACTGTACCTTTAACTTTGTTCTCTATTACATGAAATTTAATTTGTATATATTTGATTATATTTATTTTACTGTTAATATTTCCATTATGTACTACATATAATCTGTATTAATTATTTCTGTATATTATGTTTATTTATTGCATATAATTATACTATGTATTCTATGTTATACAATGCATTGAATTATCGTTATATATCTTGTATATTTAATATCTTCCTGGTAATGCTAATTGCGGGCCAGGAAATGTGTATTAAGACGTTGAATAAAATGAATGAATGAATGGTGCGCTGTTCCGCGACAAAAAAAAAGCTTGAGCAATGGCGACGTCGAACGGTGCACAATCGGTAAGTAATCCTACAATTGTTTGTTTATAGCATAGTTTATACGGATTATTCCCCAAAAATGTACGTATTTTTGAAATGTTGAGTCGAATTTGTCTAGAATCAATTAATTTTATGGAAGAAAACCTTTCAAACAGCCGTAGTCCGTAAACTTCACACGTGTCGGGCTGTGATTGGCAAGAGCTCGTACAAAATTGATTCATAAAGAACGGAACCTATCTACCGTGTTATAGGGGGAAGGTCCACTGTAAAATTTTCCGGCTGTCATGAAATCTTATTTTCAAAGCGTTTTATATTGTTAATCAGTGTAATATAGCAAAACTCTCGATTTTGAGGAAAGTGATGAATCTTATAACTGATTTTAAATGATAATAACAAGCTAAATTATTCGGTCCGATTTCTGTCAGTGTATGAGACGTATCCTCCTATATTTCTGCACACTAGAGGTAACCATTAGTGTGATGAATCTCATTTAATCTTTAATTTAGTATTATTATGCCAAATTTCATTACTTATTACCGTCTTCTGAGATATAAAACTAAATATACATCAACTCACAAACACTCATACACGTGAGGTTTGAAAAATACGAATTAAAGTTAAAGATTGATTATAGAAATTTTAACGAAACTAGAGGAAAAAGCCTCCATTGTTAAAACCGATCAAAGATCGGATTCTTTGCTCTTCTCATATGAAACCTAGACGAGAAAAAAATTTTTAATTCTTTCGTCCGATGGTTCTTTTAATTTAATTAATATTTCGAGACAAAGTTCGCCCAAACAAGGACCACTATTTATTAGCTCTGTGTTTCGGACAATATAATCCTTGAGACCGACCTTCTTTTTTTTAGGCTAAAAGGACTTTTTAACGTTTTGGCGGCTAAAAAGGAAGGTCGGTCGCCAGGATTATATTGTATGAAACACAGAGCTAATAAATGGTGGTCCTTGTTTGGACGAACTTTGTCTTGAAATATAATATTAATTTTTTAAAAATAGTATTAATGTAAGACACGGCGCAATAAATGTAAACAAGCGTCCTCCTGTAGAAATGGACCTTTGACAAAACGTCGATTATCGGAATATCGATTAACAGAAACGTCAATTAATCGAAAGCTTTCCAGTACTGGCAGCTAATTATAGAACGATTCCGAAGCCGTAGTTCTGGTTTTTTCCACGAGATGCCGCTAGTGTCGCGACGTTCAGGTAGCGTATACCTCGTACTGTACGGTGTGCTTGGAATTTTTTCTCGATATTTCAGCTTTAAAACCATACTTTATCATCGATAATTAGTTTTGAAGTGTTCTCGCTATGTTGCTAAGAAATCGTTATGGAAAATGTTCCGTCAAATATATCAAAAAATACTTGTTATTGCGAGAAGCACTTGTCCTCAAAAGGAAATCTTACTAACAAGCGTGTAAGTTTAGAACATAAAAAAATCCTGGTGAAGGAAAAGTCTATATTCTGTGGCAAGACCTCGCGTTTCGAAGGATTTTCTACTTTCCTTCGATTACGTGAACATTTGGAAAAAGAACTGTACAGGTATATGGATTTGCGTGTGAAATTGAGAAGCTGAAATTAAAAAATACGCGTACGAAGGGTAAGTAAATTCTGTTCTGAAATTTTAAAGATGCTGTATTTAATTAATTTATCTTAAAATAATTGTTTTCATGGATATTAACAGCTCAGTCAGTTGTAACAAATATATTATGTACTATATTTGACAGATTTTTACGAATGGAAAGCCACAGAGGAGATGAAAACCAACTAAAGTTAATTCTGTCATACTGTCTAAAAATTCATGGAATTTATAAATTGTATTTGTGCGGCTCTGGCACACGGGATCGTGACTACACTCTATTCAGAAATGTACAGTACTTACAAAAGGAAAACATTCAATAACAGATTGTGTATATACAGTCGACCCTCCTATAACACGGGTTCCTATAATTCGGATTCCTATATGACGGCGAAA